TTTTTCCCAATCTGTAGGTTCTCTTTTGACTCTTTTGGAGAAGTCTTTGGAAGCACATAAAAATTTAATTTTTAGTAGGTCCCAATCATCTAAGTTTCTCCTCTGCTGTTTGTGCATTTTGGGCAATAAAATCTTTTTACAAAGCTAATTTAAATAACTTTATTACATATATTTGGAATAAACATGTACTGCTTTAAAATTATATTTTAGAAACAAAATTTTACTGAATTTTAGGAAGAGTCTACAGTCCATATAGGCCACATGTTGAAAGAAAATCACTGCCTTGTTGAACTGCACATGTGTAAGCATAATATGAAAAATTGTGGCTTAAAACAGTTATGTGATGCCCTGTATCTGAATAGTAACCTGCGCTACCTTGATGTCAGCTGGTAAGCAATAATGTATACATTAAGTACTGTGAAAATTAAGTCACAGGAATAATCTATGTAAAATTCATATTCATAGGATACTGTGTTATACATTGTAATTCTGATGTTAGGAAGTACAACCATTGTAGTGAACCTTTTTTCTTAATCTTAATATTTATTAATTTATTTTATACTTATACCTTCTAATAACTTGTATGAGCAATTTAGTTATGTAAACCAGGATAGAAGCAATATTTTATGATAAAATTTCATTGACTTTCTTGCAATTGAGTGATTCAAGTAAACATTTACTAAAATAGAAAATTTGGAAGTAGATTAGGCAATCTACTTCCATAGTGATTCTGCGTCAGAAACCCAAGGAGGGGTTACAATGAGTCGGGTCCAATTTGATGGTAATGTGTTTGGTTTATTGGTTTAAAATATGAAATACTTTATATTATTATATAACATTTTTAAAAGCATTTTATCTCTATGAATAAAAGAACAGTACTTCTCATTTTCACACGTAACTATTTATTTTTTTCCCAGTAACAGAATAACTCACGATGGAATGGTGTTTTTGGCTGATGTACTGAAAAGCAATATTACTCTGGAAGTAATAGATCTTTCTTTTAACAGAATAGAAAATGCAGGAGCAAAATATCTCAGTGAAACTCTTGCTTCACACAACAGGAGTCTTAAAGCGTTAGTATGGTTTCATATTTAATCCAAACAGCATAAAAACTTACATTTTTAAAATACTAATTTCAAACCCCTTAATTCTTAAGATTATGATGAAAACTCAGTTTCTTAAGTAGCATAATAATAAGTTACAGTATGAGTTCAGTTTCTTCTATTTTTCAAAAACAATGTCTTTAAAAATTTAGTTTGATTCTAGTTATGATAGCTTCTTATAATTAATGGGAAAATTCTCATGGCTTATATAATTTATGGTGAGTTTCAGCAGAAAAATCATAAGCATTCTATATGATCAAGACTTAAAAATAAGAATGTATCAAAAAGAAAATACTACTGGGATGACTTTATCCTAAAAATATGTATTTGTAATCCACCCAAACGTGTACTGAATAGTTAATATAAAACAGACTGTTTTCAGAATGCCGGTAGCTCTATTAGGTACATGAATCATCTAATTAGAAACCTTAAGTTTCTTGGGTTTTAGAGATTATATGGTCAATATTTGACCACACCATTAAAATATATTGAAGAATAGTGCTAGTACACCATCAGTTGTTTGTAACGAAAGTTGTTGCTAACTCATGCATTCTCTCTTTCTGGAATTGTTGTTTTCCAGGGTTATTGCTTTTTGTTTTTCTATAGGTTGTCAGTAGTTAGTAACAACATAGAGGGAGAAGGACTTGTTGCACTTTCACAATCAATGAAAACAAATATCACACTTTCTAATATCTACATTTGGGGAAACAGATTTGATGAGGCTACGTGTGTGGTAAGTTCTTTCTGAGAGTTTCTCTATAACATCAGATATTATTCACTTAGAAAGGTGTTATAAAAGGTTACAAAGCATGAGACTCATTACCTAATGCAGCTATATCAGAAATACCGCAAGTGAATGGCTTTAACAGAAATGTATATGCTCACAGGTTAGGAAGCTAGACATCCAAATTCAGGGCGTCCAGCTCCAGGGGAAGACCTTCTCTCTTTGTTGGCTGTGGGGGAATGTCCTTGTCTCCTTTCAGTATCTGTGGACTTGGCGTCCCTTGGAGATCTCCATGTGTCTTGGCATCAATCTTCTCCTGGGTCCAAAGGATACACACCACTCCCGGCTCTTCTTAATTGGTGGTAGTAGATCTTTCTCTCTCTGCTGGCTTCTCTCGCCTGTGTGCAGGCCACACTCCAGGGAAACTCCCCTTACATCAGATCCTCTTTCAAGTGAAACTGCCAGTGAGAATCATAACCCAGACAAGTTGACACATATTTTTGGAGGATACAATTCAATCCATGACAGGGACATTGTAGATTTGATAATTTTTAACTTAAGTCCTAAAACACGGCTGCTGGAAAGTTTTGTGGTTGAAGTAGCAAAAGATATCACGTATCAGCTGTTAGTATAAAGATCACTGAATCATACAGTTTTAATTCCTCCCAGGTTTTTTCAACAGGCTACTTGTTGATTTGTTCTGAATTTGTCATGGCAAAATTTCCAGTCATCTTCTCCCAAATTAAACACTACATGAAATTTGGAGAGACATTTGTCAAAATATGTGGTTTCTCACATGTATCAATACAGAGAGCCCTTTATATCACTTTTAGAATGAAAAGCAAAGTAACAAATATTTCCATTTTGAAAGAGTGAAGAAACAATTAGATGTTCAAATTCTCAAAATTTGTTGAAGGACTAACCAAAATTCTACAACTAAAAAGATGAAAAGGTACACTACTATCTTAAAACAAACTTACTAATTTTAGGAAAACATCTGTGTCCTTTAGTTTGCACCTTATGAGAAATAAATGACAAGCTAAACCAGAAAGCAACTAGACTTAAATCTTTTACTGTGTAAATTTCTGCTTCTTTCTCTGTAATAGCAATCTGTTGAAAAACCAGTCAGCAGGTTTATATAATACGCTTACATAGACTCCAAGGGCCCATAAGAGATGGACAAAGAAAATTCTACAATAAAGAAATAATTAGTAGGCCCAGCCAGGCCAGAAGCTCAGCATCTACTATGATAGGAATTAGCATAAATTTATAGATTAGCTTTAAAAAGGAGTCCATGAATACCATACAGTTTTATTTCAAAATCTGTGATTCTGATTATTTTTCTGAAAAATGGGTCCCTAGTTAACAGATTTTCAAGGGCAAATACAATAGCCCCAAATAAGTAACCATGTGAGACTTGAAAATTCTGACTGTGGGATCATCTGTGCACCAAATTGGTATTATAGAAAATTGTTAACCCTGGTAGTCACAAAGGAAACATGCCCAATATATTAACTTAGAAATAAGTTTTAAAAATTATAATTTCCCTGTGTAAAATTAATAAAAGATCTACCTATAATTCTTGGAAAATATTAAAATTCAACAGTGTTATTTAGAGTATTTTATTTTAAACTCCAAATTAACATAGCTCTGGTGGTGTAGTGGTTAAGACATTTGGCTACTAACCAGAAGGTCAGTGGTTCAAACTTAGCAGCTGCTCCATGGGAGGAAGATGAGGCAGTCCACTTCCGTAAAGATTTATGACCCAATGGGGGTTGCTATGAATTGGAATCAACTTGATGGCAGTGGGTTAGTGGGTTTTAATTTGAATATTTAAATCTGTTTAAGCACTGTAAAGTGAATAAATTATTTTCTTAATGATATGTTTTTTTCTTTTCTTAAAAATCTTAGGCATATTCAGACTTAATTCAAATGGGCCGTTTAAAACCAGACAATACAGATGTAGAGTCATTTGTGGTAGATGGACATGTGTATCTGGCAGAAGTCTCCAATGGCCTTAAAAAACATTATTATTGGACACCAACTTACGGAGAAGCTTCCAACCAGTCATCTAATGCAGGTTTTGCCCTTGTAGCAATAGGTGAACATTTATGAAAAACAAATTCTAAAACAATTTTCATATATTTACTATTTTCATAGTGCTTAATACTTTATTGCCTATTAAATTCTCTTTCATAAATAAGAACATGTGACTTTTGTCAAATATTTAAAAGATATATCTGTGCTGAACTCTATATCATTGCCCACTGTGAAAAACTGAAATGTAAGAAATTCTATGAAGTACAGGCAAAAAAATTAGTCCTGGTGAAAAAGATCAAGGAACTAGACTAATTTCTTTCTATAATGAAAATATAACCGAGTAGTAAAATAGTATACAAGAAAAGATCACTATAGGTATCCATTAAAAATTGTTAGGAAATGGTAAAAAAGGCTTCAGGTGGCAAATTTCCAGTGAATTTCAAAGTCTAGAAAACAGTCTATATATCCTACATAGGTATTACATATAGGTGTCAATAACAATTTCACAAATACAGGAAAAATATTTATGAACATTCATGCCCATTTCCAAACAAGTCAGTGCTGCCAGTGAACTTTTAGTTAAATAGAAATGAAGATAGATCTCTCTGTTGAAGCATGTCAGTAACATTTTCATGATTGGATGGCAAATGATTACTATTGTACATGGCCAATCCTGTTTCCAAATTAAGAGATGATGAAGAGGCAACAGACACTGTGATCCTTTAGTAACATATCATAATCAC